CCATCATCATTTCTTTTTTCCTTTATTAAAGATTAGTCTTAGTTTAAAAAATAAAAATAAAAGATATAAAAAATGAAAAAAGTGAGAAATGTAACTAAAATGATACAAAAATAATAAAATAAATAAGGTAATCAAGGGAAACTAACTTGAAATTGGTAAAAGTAAAATAAAAATATACGGGTGAGTTTTAATATTTTACGTATTATACAAAGTATTAACATATCACTTCTTATTTTTTAGAAAAATTATCTACAATAATTCCAACTTTACCGAACGGCTTGTTCTTCTAAAAAAATTAGTAGTACATTAAGACTCCGTATAGTGTGTAAAATGTTACTCCGTAAAACCCACCACTCCGTATATATTTATTTTATTTCTTACCAGTTTCTGTTTAATTTCTATTGATTAAATTATTTATTTGATTAATTTTGTATGGTTTTAGTTATTTTTCTCATTTTCATTATTTTTATATCTATTTTTTTTCTAAGGTAAGAATAATCTTTAAAAAAGAAAAAGAAATGGAACACCTTGCCTCGCACATACATAGTTTGCTCAGCATGGAGGAACTCCACAAGAAAAATGCTAGGGGTACACCAAAGGTGTACCTCATTTGTCCCCCACCCCCTCCATTACCACAAAAATGGGGAAGAAATTAAAACAAAATTAAATAAATAAAAATAAGGTTAAAATGAGTGGTAGAAAAAGGGGCAGGGGACAAATGTGGTACACCTCTGGTGTACCCTAGCATGACCCACTCCACAAACAAGTGGAGAAGAGATGTTGAGTTGGCATGCAATTCCACACCATTGCCTGTTTTTCCATAAAATTCCAAACATTTTCTTTTTTTGTATGTCCCAAAAAGTATCTTACACTTATTTTAATTCCTTTGTCTGATAATGAGCATGAATAACTTATTAACCTATTCCATTCGTTCCACAAAATCCTTTCGGTTTTGACTTTAGGGAAAAATAATGAAAGTGTAATTTTGGTTGACTTTCCAATTTTGCCCCTGATGTAATGGGCAAAAGTAAGATGTGATAGTTTGGTTATTAGTGAAAAAGTATGATCTGATAGGTAGGGTATGAAAAAGTAGGAGCAAAAGTGGTTTTTTAATAGAAAGTGGAAGTGTTTTGTGGAAAGCAAAAAAAACGAGAGAGGAAGGGTTTTGTGGAACGGAAGGAGTATTATTTTAAAGAAATTTACCTAAATAGGACTAAAACATAATGACTTTCCCAATATAAGACCATATGTTTTTATTTCCCAATCTAGGAACTTTGGTCATTATCAAGTAGTCATTATTCAACTAAATGTTCATGATTACAGGACATTATTCTTTCCACTAGGTCATTATTAAGTCTTATTTAGGAAATAAAAAAGTTTTAATTCTACATTAGAAAAGTCATTATGTTTTAGTTCTATTTAGTGCAAATTTCACATTATTTTAAATTGAATAGTTTGGTTCCGTATTTTTGGTTTAATTTTACTTTTTCGAAACTCGTCCCGTCCATTTTGACCACACTTCGGTTCCAAATATATAATCTACAAGAATTGTTATTTGAAAATCTACTTTTTCGTTCAGTACAATGGTAGTCCAATTTGGAACTCTACGGGCCAGCATAATGGTTTCTTCTAATCTTTTTCAGTTTCTTTGCAACTTTTTCCTATTTTTTCTAACTTTTTACAATTTTGTTCTCAACTTCTGTCAAGGAACTAACTCAACCATAAGCTCAAGCTTGTGGTTGTGGCCCAGGCCGGAACAGTTATTTATATTATAACACGCCCCGTCATGTGCAGGCGTAATATTTTTTCGAGCCTTGCACGTGAAACTTTGATTTTTTAAAACTGGGTGGCGCTGAGTTTCGAACCCGTGACCTCTTAGTCAACGAAGCTCCGATACCATGTCAAGGAACCAACTCAACCATAAGCTCAAACTTGTGGTTGTGGCCTAGGAACAATTATTTATATTCTAACAACTTCTTATAGTTTTTCCAATATCAAATTCTATTTTTCAATCCAAAAAAACAATAGACCCTTACACTATGTTTGGTTCAAAGAATTTGAAAGATAAAAGAAAAGAAAATGAATTGGAAAATTATTTTTCTTGTTTGGTTAGAGGGGAAAAAAGGAAAAGTGGAAGGAAAAGAAAATGAGGAGACAAAATATACCAAGTGGAGGAAAAATCAAATTCCTTCCATTTTGGTGGGGAAAATGAAAGAAAATCATTTTCTTTTCTTCTCCCTCCAAATCCTTGTGCCAAACATAGTGTAAGTGAACCGTTGAAATATGTTTAGTACCCCTCAATTTTTTTAAACTATTTGACTCTTTTTTTGTGTGCGCAAAGGTCTGACTAATTATATACTTATAGCATAACATTTTTTTATTGTATTTTGTGAACATAGTTTACAAAAAATATTATTGATCAAACATTTCATACAATTTTGTTTTGATAATTTTTTTAGAGTAAATTCCATAATTGATCTTTATAACAAGAGGGTTTTTTGCCATACATAATTACAAAGGTTGTTCCGTTTGCGTCGTTTGTGAACTAGATTCGCTTTCTACTACAACCATAGTCTACACATGTGGCTTTCTGTCGAAATCTTAGCCTACAATCATAGTTATTATTTTTGTGTTATCCTCTTAACCAATACCAGAACATGTCACTAGACATAATGTTGATATCAAATTATACTTTTAGTCTTTAAATTAACACCCACATGGCGGTAGATCAAAAAAAGGACCATTTGTGGAGAGGCATCTTTAAAAAAAGGACTACGAGGATAACATTTGATAATGGATAACTAAATATAGAAAAATTTCTATTATAAAAGACCAATTATGAAATTTACTCTTTTTTTTAACTTGAGGGAGCAAACAATATGGATTGTGTTGTAGTAAGTATAACGGCTCTCGCTAACGGTAGGCCCATTTGTTGTACGGAGATGGATATTTTTTGTGACACCTCATAAGCCCACTTAACCGTCTAATTTAGAAAATACAAACACATGGACAAACATCCAACCCATTTATAATTTGACAAAAAGGCAAAGCCAACAAAAGACAAACAAACATCTGTCCCGCTATTATTTGAACGCGATAAAGTGACACAAAATAATTGACAACTCAGAATCCAAAAAAAATTTACTGACATTTTAAAGATTTACACTGACACACAATATTAGTTCATTTAAAAAAATATGTATTAACACTTTTTGTCAATGTAAACTATCACACTAGCACAAAATGTCGGTGCATGTCCTTGAGGTACAAAATGGGATATAACTTTTAGCGTACAAATATCTTAATCCAATGAATTAATATGTTTCGCACAACAGACATGTTTGTGCCGATTTTGCTCTGATCTATATATATCAAGTTCGGATTATGTTTGAGAGATAGAACTTTTGTACTCGTTTTATATACTTACATCTCATACTTACATCAAATGGGACTTTGAAAAATCCAAACAAAGTTATATTTCCATTAAATTTCATAAAAATTAAAAGAAGAAAGAAATTTTTAGACGAAATAAGTAAATAAGTGTAACCATTTTGGGACGATCTAAAAGAAAATTGCATATATCAAATGAGGACAAAGAGAGCATTTGACAACTTGGAGTGGTTTTTCCAATTAGTTACGACTTCACACTTAAACTATTCTCTTGAAGGTCTTGATGATTCCGAATCACGGTAGAGACTAGATAAATGATTTTCCATTAATATATAGACGATTTCTCCACTGAGGTCACGAGCTTAAATCTAAGTGGAGAAAATAATTTTATATTCTTTAATAAGTGAAAAAATATATAAACAAATATTACATTATAATAAAATTATTAATTAGTGTACATTTTAAGTTATTAAGTAGTGTACAAAAAATGTGGTTAAAGAAAAAAGTTACCGAGTACAGTAGACCATCAAACAACCGGATGTTTTTTTCTAAAGCATTTTCCGAAAAGAAAAACATTTCTTTACTAAAGTTTAGCGCATGTCGCTATGTGTATTTACGCATATGGATAATTATACTCATCGATGAAGCTTTTTATTTTGTCCACCCTTAAAGTGTGGACAATTCTAATTTTTTCTGTTTGTAGATACGGAGTAAAAATTACTCCGTACAATTTTCCGGTCACTTCAAGTTTTATTTTGAAGTGGAAAATATGAGGGATGCCCTTTTGAAGTTATGTAAAATTCACTTCACTTGATCTGATTGAGATAACTTTTGATCAGATTTGGTCTGATCTAATTTGAATATAGTAATATTAAAAGCTATTTTAATTTGATATGATTCCAATACGAATAAATATTACGTAAAAAAATAAGTTGAGACACACCCTAATGTTGATCAATCTAAAGTTAGGGAGTTTATTAAGGATTGACTAGCAAAAAATTGTCTAAGTTGTTGAAAATATTAGGCCATCCAACATACCATGCAACCTTTCTTATTTTTATCAAACACTCATTGGGAGGGGCCTCACATTTTTTATACCTTTTAGATCTGAGATGTAAATTTCGAATTGTCCCTCAAGTTTTTAAGTAGTATTTACGCTTCCGTACACAAAGAGAGTCATCACATACTGATTAGTCAACGTCTGATTGATTTCGCTGCTCGAGCTCTTATTGAGTATCAGGTTCTTATCCATATCTTTCTATAAAAAATCGTGTGCGTGATACTAAAACTAGAAAGTTACATTTATTTATGTTTTTTTACAATTTGAGAGCTTGAAAAACAATACAGAAGCAAATAATCAGAGAATGGATCAAAATTTGTATAGACATTCTCATATTCCATACATTTTCTTAAAATTTAAATTATCATAATAGTACTAAACAAATACAAATTTAAATTTGTAAGGAGGAATATTAAGTTCATTATCTTTATGAAAGATACTCCACTTTAGACAAAAATACTAATGAAAATTAGGATACAAATAGTCAAATACCCAAAAAGAATCAACTAGAAATGCTTACATGCGAATATTCTCCCAATTATACCCTTACCTGATGAGTCCCTTCTTCCCCAATCTCTCTATAAATACAACATCAAACCCTAACATTTTTTCTTCATACAAAAATTAGATTCATCTTCTCAAATCATGTGCGAAAGTTTCAAACTCAAGTACCAGTTGTGCGAAGAAATCGGCCGTGGTAGATTCGGCGTCGTCTACCGTTGCTTTTCTCCGATCACCGGCGAATCCTACGCCTGCAAATCCATCCAGAAGAATCTCCTCCTCGACGCCGCCGACCGGGAGTGCCTCGAGAAGGAGGCCAAGATCCTCCACCTCCTCGCCGGAGATCCGAACATTCTCCGGCTGATCGACGCCTACGAGGACGAGAACTACCTTCACATCGTCACGGAGCTCTGTACCGGAGGGGATCTGTACGAGAGGCTGGTTGGCCGGGGGCAATTGTCAGAGCCGGAGGCTGCCGGGATTTTCCGGCAGCTGATAACGTCGATCGGACACTGCCACCGCGCAGGTATCGCTCACCGCGACGTGAAGCCGGACAACGTGCTGTTCGATTCTCAGGGGAATCTGAAGCTCGCGGATTTCGGATCTGCCGAGTGGTTTGCAGGGTACGAGGATCGGAAGATGACCGGAGTGGTGGGGACGCCGTACTATGTGGCGCCGGAGGTCTTGATGGGCAGGGACTACAACGAGAAGGTGGATGTGTGGAGCGCGGCAGTCATTCTGTACATAATGCTCGCGGTAACGCCGCCCTTCTACGGGGACACTCCATCCGAGACTTTTCAGGCCGTTCTAAGGGCGAATTTGAGATTCCCACCCAGAATATTCCGGTCAGTCTCGCCGGAAGCTAAGGATCTTCTCAGAAAGATGATGTGCAAGGATGCTTCTAGACGCTTGTCTGCAGATCAAGTACTGAGTAAGTTTCTTCTTTCAATAAATTTTCAATCTTTCCCTGTTTGGGATCTTCCAAGTTTTCTGGAATTTTAGCTTTCTTAGATTCTACACCTACTTTGTTCTCTATCCTTATTATATTCTCCAGACTTAACAATCCTTCTTGGTCCGGTCCAAGATATGCTTTTCTTGGTTATTTTTTCTAGAGAGACATAAAAAAAAGTCAAAAAGTTTTAACCTTTATTAACTTCTCCAAACCTGAAAAAAACCAACTGTTATGAATACTAGAAGAGAATTCTTGGATTTGGAAGATTATTTTTTCTCCATGAATCGAAAAGCCTATTTGATATTAATTTCAATAATGGATTGAATTCAATTATAAAATACTCTGGTAGTAGTAATAATGATGATAATAATAAATGAAATGCAGGGCATCCATGGGTGATCAATGGAGGAGAAATGGGAGATCAGACATAGGCTCCAAGATTATGGGAAGAAAGAAGAAAACTTGTGTACAGAGGACCTACCACTCCGTTTAAACTCAAAATATGCAGGGTAAGAAGATGAAGATGAAGTGATGAAGAATGAGAAAACCAAACAAGTTCAGAACTTTTTTTTTGTCTTTATATCTGATCTAGTTGGGTCTTGAGGCTGCAGAAAACAGACTAGATTGGTGTGCTATATGTATTTCTATGTTTGTATCTGTTTATATATATATATATATATATATATATATATATATATATACACTCGTATTTATATAATATATATGTGTGCTTCAAGTAAGAGATGGGTTTTTGCAGTTGTATCATACTAGATTGTTGTGCTATATGAATGTGTATGTATGTGCTATGCCTGTGTTTTCATTGCATTATGTCTAGCATTTGGCCTAGCATTTTCTACGGTAATCTTTACCAATACAAATTTATAATAAGCATTTTCAGTTAACCTTTTGGATAAATTTTTAGTAGTACAGATTAACTTTGAAAAGCGTTGAAGCTAAATATTTTTGTTAGAAGATATTTCTAAAACGCCCATTAAAACGGATAAATTGTTACCAAATTGACACTATTTTGATTTCAGGATTATACGGTACGATTTGGGATGTGAGCCCATTTTGAACACTACATAAATGAAATATTGAATCTACATACCTAATGAAGGTGATGAAATCTCTGATAAGTTAATTGTACTTCTTTGATATTAATACAATTTTTTTCTTATTTGGTGAGAAAAAAGAGAGATTTGTTTTTCTCTTCCTTCCAAACATAGTATTAGGATTAATTCTTTTTGGGTAATGCTAGAGTCACAAACAAACAGTCTATAAAATTCACAAACTTGTGTTTTTCATTTTCCTAGAAATAAGACGCACTCAAATGATAAAAGATATTTTAATTTAAAATCCACAAAAGTTTGTAAAGTTTATGAACTATTTGTTTGTAACTCTAGCATTTTCCATTCTTTTTACCTTGACTTTAACTGGGAGCAAAAGATGAAATTTAGAGTTTAAAAACTAAATTCTAAGATTGCATATAGTATTAACTTTTAATCAAAGTCTATAAATGGGAGACTAAGTTGGAGTGTAAAGAACGGAGTTAAAAATTGAAAAAATGAAAATATTTACAACAATACTTTGGAAAATTTCTGATTTTATAATAATACTCCGAAAATTAATTAATTAATACCATTACTCCCACAATTGTTCTATTTTCACAAAACACTTCACCCACCACCTCACTTGCATAACCATATTGTGAAATATCTGCATTAATTTTTAAATAGATGACTTGAAAAATAAATTACTTTTTTCAGATTTATACAAAAGAAATTCTTTATTCTACCTCCAACTCAAATATCAATCTCCTACTTCAAGTGTTTGTTTTTTTGTTGGAAAGTTAGCTTTTAACTTTTTGCAACTCTTTTCAATATTTTTCAACTCCTTGCTATATATTTCTTCCAATATTCAACTTTAGAAACCAACAAAAAATGGCATGCCTTAATTGTGAGAGATTGGTATTTGAGTTGGAGGAGAAATAAATAATTTATTTTTTTATGAAAACCAAAAAAATTAATTTTTTATCAAATCACAACTTAAAAAGTCTATTTAGATATTACACAATTTTATTGTGCAAGTAAGGTTGTGGTGGAGTGTTTTTGTAAATAGAGAATAGTTTTGAGAATAATAGTGTAATTAATGTATTTTCAGAGTATTCTTGTAAAATAAAAAATTTGTTGGAGTCTTGTTGTGAATACCAAAAGTTTTTAAGAATACATCGACAAAACTAGGGTTGGGTTCGGTTTTTGCGGTTCGTTTTTCACCCAAAACCAAAGACAAAACTGAAGGTAAATTGGCAGTTCGGTTCGGTTTGGTTTTGCATAAAAAATATGTAAATCGTTGGTTATTCGGTTCGGTTTTATACGGTTTTTATTTCGGTTTTTTTCGGTTTTTTCAGCTTATAAAAGTAGAAATTTATAATCATTAAAAAATTGTAAAAATACAAACTTGATGGAGCAATAACAATATGTTGTGTTAGGTTTGGTTTGTTGGTTTGAGTTTTACACAAAAACAAAAATCAAACGGAATGTTATTGTATCATTCGGTTCAATTTTACATAAAAAAAATATGTGTTGAGTACCCAACAAACATTTAGGAGATTCCGAATACTTCCAAAGGCATCGTATGTAAAATTAATTACGAAGAATTTGTGTTTTTTGGTATAATAATTTCATTTTCATTATAACATCAAAGTATTTTTTATGTAAATATATAAATTACTCATATCAATATTTAATATTAATATAATTCTATATTTGGATTAGCTATTGGTGTTTATATTCTTAGATTTTTTAAAAGTTTATAATAGTATGACTAAAATGTTAAATTAATAGTTAAGAAAATAATTTTAATCGACTAGTAATTTATTTGCATTTATATTTCTATGATTTTTTTACATATCATATATATTTATATAAAAAAAGCGAAGTATCTAAGAAAGTTCGGTTTATTCGGTTCGGTTCAGTTTTTCAAAGTGAAAACCAAAACGGAACCAAACACTAACGGTTCGGTTCAGTTTTTTTACATTCGGTTTCAGTTTTTTCGATTCGGTTTTTTTCTAGCTCGTTTCGATCGGTTTCGGTTCGGTTTGCGATTTTCAGTTTTGCCAACCCAGCCCTAGACAAAACTACTCCGGTACTATACATTTCAATCCCTTCTTTTACTGAGTACTTTGTATCACACACTTTTTTGTATCCTAACATTATCTTTTTTTGGTCTTTCTGTTCTGAAAAGATTATTAAATTACGTGAAATGAAGTTAATTTTTAAATTTTTTTCAATTCATTTCTTCAAAAGATTGGTATAAAAATAAAAAAATAAGGCTTACATATTTAAAATTACATCAAACTTTTTTTAAAACAAAAGATGACAAAAATATTTTATTTTATCCAATTGTCATTGAAAATGTACAAACAAACAAACATTCTCGTATTTTTTATTATTGAAGTATGCCATTTTTTTTGGATGAAGGAAGCATTTGTTAACTTTCTTAAACCTCACGCAAAATGTAAAGCCGGACTTTGAAGCGGTCAAAATATTTTATCGTGAGACTTTTTAAAGTTAAAATTCGCCCGTCCCAGCGAGCATTTGAAACGAGCTGGCCCAAGTGGTAGTACCAGGCTTTTTTTGTCCGGCCCGACGACTCACACGAAAACAGTCTCTATGTCCCAAAATGTTTAGATTTTTATACAAAATACAATGAAATTTTAAGTGTTTTTTATTTATTTTATTTAAATACTAATATGGAAATAAAACACAAAACTTACATTGCTAGAATATAAAAATCTTTTTTAGGTCATGATATCGAAACATTATTGACTAAGAAGTTGCATGTTTGAAACTCAGTGCATCCCTTTTTTTTTTTGAAAATTAAGTTTTAAGTGCAAGACTCAAAGTGGTCAAACGTGCACGTAAGGGAATATGTTAAAATTATAACCTCGGTTGAATTGTTTCCTAGACACATATATTTAGAAACTAAATCAAAAGTTTTACAAAATAAGTTGTGATAAAAATATTTTTATTTTATCAAATAAGCAATGAAAATTTGAAACAAGAGTATTGTATTAGAAGTCCTACGAAACAAGAATACCTTATTTTTTTAAAAATAAGATCTGACAAAAATATTATAGTCCCTTCGTCCCAAAATGTAAGCTACATTTCGAACGACGTGCAAAAAATCATTTCTTTCAAAATCATTTTATCTACAAGTTGGTAGAGAAATAAAAAGTAAAATAACACCGTTTAAAAATAAATCAAAGTTCTACAAAACAAAATGCATCAAAAATATTTTATTTTATCAAATAGTCAACCAAAACGAGTAAACAAACCAAAGTTAACGAAAAACTTAAATAGTAATTGTTGTTTACATTATGGGACAGAGGAAGTATCAAAAATTGTAGTATGAGACAAAATGTGTTATGACTATACTATTTTATCAAACTTGTAACGAAAATATATATTAAAAAAGAATAAAATTTAAAACTTTTAATAAGGAAAATGTAACTTAAATTAGGACGGATGAAATACTTTCTACCCTTTAAAATATGGGAAACATTATCTTAACCTTTTACTACTAGAGATAAAATTGCGACATTGTGTACATTTTTGAAAAAAAACATAAGAATTGAATTTTTTGGGGACACTCTTTCAAACACTAATAAAAATATAAAATTGTGATGGGTACTTTTTGCACCATTGACGGTCAACATGGACTTTGTTTTTGTAAAAAGTCAACATTATAATTAAATAATTAATCCTAGAGTGTACGGCATTGATAAAGTATTAAACCACAAGTTTTTTTTGGGTTAGTTCATGTAAACAATGAGCCACACGGCAACAAAGAAAATTTCATTTTGCTAATTAAATTGCTTTTATACTTTTTTTAAAATAGTATTTCCATTCCATTCAAGAAAACTTTCTTTTTTTATGAAGAGTGAATGATTTGATTTTGTTTCGAAATACGGAGTATATAAAAATTAGTTTGACACTCTATTTTGGTAATAAAAGTATAGTTTAAAGCTATAGTTTTACCAAATTGATACTCTATTTTGGTCTCAGAATTATATGGTACTACCTCCGTCCCAATTTATAACGTCTGTTTCAGTTTATGATGTTTGACTGAAATTATTTTCAAACCATTTTATATGACAAATGGTATAGAATTAAAAAATAAAAATTACATATTAAAAAATTACATCAAAAGATCTACAAAACTAGTAATGACAATGATATTTTATTTTATCAAATTGCTAACGAAAATAAAGAAAGAAAGTAAATGAAGTTTGACCCTGTGAATAGTAAACATGCATTATAATTTAGGACGGAGGGAGTAAGATTTAAGATGTGAGCTCATTTTCAGCGCCGCATAAATTGTTAGACAATTGATTTAAGACAATACTAATTATGGTAGAGTGAGTATTTTTGTGTATTGTTTCCTAGTCCTAGATGGGATTGTATCCCCTCTTATATGAATTCTATCTTGTACTCTCTCCGTTTCACAAAACTCTTTCGGTTTTGACTTTGGAAAAAAATAAAGAAAGTGTAATTTTGGTTGACTTTCTAATTTTGTTCCTGATGTGATGAAAAAAAGTAAGATGAGATAGTTTGATTATTAGTAAAAAAAGTATGATGTGATAGGTAGAGTATGAAAAAATAAGGGTAAAAGTGGTTTTTTAATATAAAGTGGAAGTGTTTTGTGGAAAGCAAAAAAAACGAAAGATAAAGGGTTTTGTGGAACGGAAGGAGTATTCATTATTTCTCAAGTAATACATTGTTCAATTATTAAATATATATTCTTTTAACATTTAATTTTGTAAAATCTTTATAAAAATGAATTTAGAAATTTAGAATTTTTCATTGTTTTTTTGTAATTTATAATCAAAATATAGACATATTTCCCTCAAATTATTTTATCAAATTATCAACTAAAATTAATTCCAGTGTAGTGTACGAGTTCATGTTGACAGTTTGATGGAAAAATAATGACAATGTAATACATTAGTGTAATCAGTCAACCGACGATGATCCAAAGAGACATCTTGCTGGCCGGCGGCGACAGATGGCAGTGTGACAGTGATAGTATGAAAGTTACAATGTGACAATGTGATGAGTATGACATGACAGTATAAATTCGTATTTTTGTCTTAAAAACGGTATGACTCATTTTTTGGTATTTTTATAATTTTTTACTCCTACCTAAGTATATCTCCCTTAAAAAATTACTTCCTTCGGCCTAAAATCACGATAATTTTTATTTGTTTGAAAGTTTTCATTAATTATTTAATAAAATAAAATGTTTTTATAACATTTTATTTTGTAAAACTTTTGATATTGTCTTTAAATACGTAAGTTTTATTTTTTTTATTTATGTATGAATCTTTAAATAAAATAAATCAAAAAGTTTGGATTTTTTCTTTTTTTCTTTTCTTGTAATTTATTACCAGAATAAAAATGAAGGGAGTATTTCCCTCAAATGAACCACAAAAACGTTTGGAAAGATTGTTCCAAAAACGGACTTGAAATTGTTCCAGTCAATCGTCACCGAGTAGTTTATAACACGGAGTAGAATAGTAGTAGTACTATTATACCCACCAACCAAACCTCATTTATCATTTATTGAAAACCCCCCATGCAACTTTTATTTTATTTTATTTTTATCCCACCAATTATTCTTCTGGTCAGTTAAAATGAGAAGAAGATCACCACCGTCAAGGCGGAGGCTTCTCCGCGGCTGCTGCTACTACATACTGGCGGCCGCCGTCCTCGTTCCGTCGGTACTCTTGACTCCTTTTTTCCAGGCGTGCGGTGCCTCTGCTTTGAGGGTTAGTCCTATGTCTCCCCCGCCACCGGGGGCGGGCCGTGTGCCGGACCACTGGAGGAGAACGGTGAGTCAGCTGCTGCCGCCGCCGTCGACCTAGCCAAATCAATCACGGCGGAATCCTGGTTGCTACCGCTTACAAAGATTCCACTTTTTTTTTCTCTGTAGTTTTATCCAAAATAAGGACCAGTTTGGTGTGTTTTAAAAGGTGTATGGTACTCGTATTAGTTTTGAAATTTTAAAGAATGTCTTTTGGAAATCTGAAATAAAAGTATTTAGAGACTTTTGAGGTCTGTAAATGATCTGGTAACACTAAGCAATGTAACTGGAAAGAAATGTAGAGGGGACTCACATAATGAATCAAAAGCTTCTATTCCATTCTCATGATTCCATGAAAGGGTAATCAGTATATCCCACAACAGGGTCAAATGTGTAAAAAGTAGACCTGTCGTACCCATTGAGCCGCGCATCACAACCGAACCGCAGTACCAAATCCGGGTTCGCCATGAACAGCCTCCCAAACGCGACCAGGTCGACCTCTCCACACTCGACAGCATCGATCCCGAGCTGCCTCGTGTACCCACCACTGGACAAAAATGCCCCCTCGTAAGCCTTCCTGAGGGACCTCATAAGCAAGGCTTCCTTTTCGCCGCAACCACCAATGGGACCATCTTTGTTCTTACCATAGGACACGAACCGGGGCTGCGTGACATGCAGGTAGGCCAGTTTAGAGCCGACCTTGGTCTGGAAGTTGTTGAGTTTCTCGACGATGGTGAGGCCAAGGGCAAAAGGGTCGGAGTCCGAAGCGCCCATGTGATCAAAGGCAGGGGAGATCCTTATTGCTAGCCTGTCAGGGCCAACGGCATTACTCACTGCTTCAACTATTTGCATTAGAAATCGGCAGCGGTTCTCAATGGATCCACCGTACTCATCACTGCGGTCGTTTATCCCATCTTTGAGGAGCTGATCAATCAGATACCCATGGGCAGAATGGATTTCAACTCCATCAAAACCTGTGTTTTCACCAAGACCATTAGAGTAACATACACTAAAGATTGGACAACAAGAAGTAACCCAGTAAAATCCCGCGACAGTAGGGTCTAGGACACTAAAGATTGGGATGCAATGTGTATGAAAAATGAAGAAGAAAACAATGTACATTAAGGAAGAAAAGAAACCTGCTTCAATGGCATTGATTGCTGCAGCGCGATACAAATCGACATATTTTGCTATATCATCAGTAGATAAAGCTTGGGGTTTTGAGAAGTGCCCATAAGAGCCATCCGGCATCATTATAGGCCAAGTCTCAGATATCTGCTTCTCCGTGGACGAAACCGGGGCACCTCCATCAGGCTGATACACTTTCACAGCAAGTAAATTTATCACACAATCCCTCATCAGCTGCACATAGAACTTAAAAAATGAATATATATTCTTGAAAATGGAATACCGTTATGGGACGCACGGCCAACATGCCAAAGCTGGCAGAACAAAACAGCACCCTTTTCATGGACGGCATCAACCACTTCTTTCCAAGCTTCCACCTGCTCCTTGGTAAAAATCCCAGGCACGTTTGGATAACTAAAAGCAACGTCAAACAGTTACTAGTTTACCCGAGAGCTTATAAACACAACTCCCAATGTAACATTTCTATGTTAGACACTTTGATATAGATTCAAAAAGAAACACCAGATTTGAATTGAACCACATTAACAATTTAGTTGGATGGAGTGTAGAGGGACACAACTAATGGAATGGGAGGGAATAGATGTATTGTAGTGGTAGACGAATACGGCATTTCACAAAGCCAGTTCCAACACATAACACTTTGAGAGTAAAAACATATCTTGATTAGTTTATGTTGGGACCACGGGTACCCTCACCCTCACGGATTTGTTTTTGGGCACATCCCAAAAGACCTCATACTAATGAGGTTGGGTTGAACCTATATATTTTGGTTCTTCTTCTCCAATTCTTTTGGTTTAGGACTATTGTTTGCTCCCAACAGTTTATAGTTTATACTCACCCGGCTGCAGTGGGATCAATGATGGTTCCCTCGGTGATCAGCAGCCCACCGGGAGTTGCCCTTTGGGAATAGTACTCAACGTGTGCCTTCTGCGGCATGTTGTTCAAAGCTCTACACCTTGTGCAAGGTGCCAACACTATCCTGCAACCAGAGCTCTACTATAATCAACTCTCCTTATTCCTATGTATCAAAAGAATCCACTTTCTCTTGAAGGAAATACAAATTATGATTTGAGTTGTGCTACATTGACACTACCTACCAATGACACCAAGCTTGACACCACTCGTGTCACACACAATTTTACAATTTCATAGAGGGAGTAGAACTGTTGAGATTTTGATAAGAGAGAAGAAGGGAACAGAAGAGGAACCTGTGGGCAAGAGCGAATCTCCCCATCTGGAAAGGGGTGAAGAGTTTGGGGGAAGAACATTGAACAAAATTTTCAGCCATACGGCAGTTTCTGGCGACCCTGACCACAAGAACTATGTGTTTGTGGATTTGACGGCCGGAGAAGACGGGGGCGGAAGCCTTTTATAGCGGCGGAAGAAGGAGATTGACAGGCCTTTTATTCATTCCATTCATCAAGAATTATTCAAAACCAAGATTGCTTCGTTCTTGGAATTAACGAAATCATGGCGGAAATGAAAGGTCGGAATTAATAATGGAGCTGTAGTCATTGCTACTGCTAATTTCATCGCCATCAAGCTTCATACTGTAGGAACTTGGATCCATTGCAATTTTCTGAGTTACGGAGTACCCAGAAACCCATCTTTTTTTTTAACAACAAAGAGTTTGAGATCAAATCAAATGTTAAGGGTGTTTGTTTCAGCCTCTTAATGGTTCAGATGTCTGAATGGTTCAGCACTTAATGGTTCAGACTGTTTGTTTCAGCCTCTTAATGGTTCAGATGTCTGAATGGTTCAGATGTCTGAATGGTTCAGACATTTGCCTTTGAATGGTTCAGACCTCTTACTGGTTCAGCACTTACATGCATCATCAACTTATATATAATTCTCACTTACATGCCAACTAAGAAAGAGAGGATAAAATGAGACTTGCATAGGACGTGCTCTCAGCTTTAGTTGTCTCGAATAAAATTATAATTTTTTTACTTGTCATAAAAGAAAATAAACATGTAATGCCCTCTTGGAGTCAAAATTTTAACTCCAAAGTCAAATAAATTTAGAGGGTTCAATAGAAGGAGGTGAGGGGTGGGTTCAAGTCGGAGCAGGGTGGGAGATTTGTCGGGAGGGTTAGAAGGGGTAGGAATCATCAATTTCACGAACAGAGCACCGTAAGACTCTCTGAGTCATACTATGACATTGCCCTGCAATGTCACATGAACTGGGGTGTGATTAAATGGTTCCTAAATATATAAAAAATCACTAACATAGTATTTTTTACATGGACTATTTGTGAAAATATCCATCTTATAAAAGACGTCGGTTAAAAATTACTCAAATAATTACTTAGTATAACGATGCTTTTTTTCTAGTAAAAGTATAATTCTCACGTCATCCGATTGTTGTGATCTTACAGTAGGGATGAGCAAAAAGATCGGACTAGTCAGACCAAATCGGTCCTTTGAAAAGACCAGAACTATTTAGGACGAGATCGGTTTGATCGTTTTTAAAAACCAGTCCAAACTAGTCTAATCTTCATGAAAAAATAGGGACCTTTTGGGACTGGGTAGTCCTATTAGGACCGGTCCAAGTCCGGTCCGGTCCTTAACATGTAAAATTCTTAAATTTTTGTTCTTCAAGAAAGTTCTCGAAAAAATTTAAAAAAAATTATTTTTGATTATTTAATTTCTGTTTTCTATATCGTATTGATTTATAAATAATTATGCAATATGAATATTATTATGTAAGATGAAAGTTGGATAGAATTACCGAGAAAATAAATTTAATATGAATGGGAATAATGTTTGGTTTAAATTAGCATTTTGAAATCCAACAGACTAGTTTTGGTTCCAATTTCACTTTTATTAAAAGCTATTTTTCGTTTTATTTTCGGGAATATATTTCCATCATCTCCGATATAGCCAAAAATTCACTGTTTTGTGGCTTTGGGGTGTAACGGAATAAAGCAAAGTGGATCATTAAACTATTTACGCTTCTTTAATTACTAAAATAGCAGGTAGTCAACTGACGCTGAACAATAGGTTTCTTTGAAAACAGCCTCTCTATTTCGAGTAAGGTAAGATCAACGTACACATACCCTCCTCAAACCCTACTATTGTGAAATTCAACTAGGTTGTATTTTCAAGAATATCTTCAATTTGTTTATAGCCAATTCACAATATTTGCAAACAGAAATATTATGAAAGATATACGTATACAGTATAATAATTTTTTTTAAAAAAAATGAATAATAAGGCCAGTAAAAGATGTTTTTACCCCGTACAATTTCTGGAACATGTTCCCTTTTTCAGGTAGCTAAATGAAAAAAGCGCATCCATCTATTCACATTTAGCTGACCACACTTGTGTGAGAGTGTGAGAGACATCAAAAGAGAAAAAAACAATTGCCCTTGCTTATTAGATGATTTATTACATGTAAAAAATATCTATGATATAAAAACAAAGATTGAAATGGGTAACAATTTGAAGTCACAACATAGCCACATCTGTATTACAACAACCAACTCATACAACACACACTTCACCAGATGACATTCAATCCAAAAATGGTTTACATCTACTAAAATCCTACACAAATGCCGCTTTTGCTATATATAGAAAGAGGAAAGAAAAGAAAAGAAAAGTAGAGAATTGATGGAAAGTTACAAAGATAGATACCTGAGGATGATGTAATTTTTCTTCCTCTTCACTTCCTCCTGTTCTTGGCCCTGTTGACTTTCACGATCCTCCGGCCTGATTTGTCGGGCCCACTGCTGCCTAACGAGAAGCTTCCACTGCCATTATTGAACTCCAGGCTCGTTGATGGTTGAAAAGGCGATGGATTTTGTGGCGGAGGAGCTCCTTGATTATATTGGAATGGGTTGGGAGAAAGACTGGGTGTAGAAAACATAAACGAACCAGGAGGCGCTGCAGGAGTGTTTGAAGGTGGTTGACCAAATACAGAAACTGGTGCTGGTGCTGAGCCGGCTTGAAATTGATCCTCGGCCATTGTATCCTCCATTGTCATCTGGTCTTGGGAGGCTGAGAAGGGCGATGAGAGAGGAGCGGAATTTCCAAATATGGGCTGAGGGATGGTGGCCGAAGCTCTGAATGGAAATACGGGACCACTCGTTGCAGCGGCGGGATTTGTTCCAAAAGGTGTTGGTGGGGTCTTGGGCATAGTGAATGTAGATGAGGAAGTACCGAGAGTGGGAAAGCCCGTAGATGAGGAGGCTGAAGAACTGGCAGTAAAATTGAATGTTGCTGGAGTAGTTGTGTTACTCCCGGCAGTGGTGGTAGAGCTTACACTGATATTGAATTGACCACCAGAATTTCCAGTGGAACTGCCAGTGAAACCAAACACTGCAGGAGTGGTGGTATTGCTGGAGGAAGCTGCAGAAGTGGCCGCAAAAGCAAACGGACCAGGAGAGGTGGTGGTGGGAAAGGAAGGTGTGGAACCGGAGGTGAAACCGAAAGGCCCAGGACTGCTGGAAGAAGAATTTGTGGAATTTCCGTTGAAAATGAACACCCCTGGAGTGGTGTTACCAGAAGAAGCCGCAGTAGAAGTGAACAGTCCAGAAGCAGTTGAGCTGAAGGACGAAGCTGCAGAACTCCCACTGACACCTAACACCCCAGGATTGGTAGGAGAGGCAGAACTTGCACTAAAACTAAACGGTGTGGGTGTGATACTAGTAGAGAAAGTGGAAACAGTAGAACCACTAGTAAAAGATATTGTGGGACCGCCAGTACTACTAGAAGATAAAGCAGTTGTGGTACCAATGGAGGGGGTAAGCACTTTGGTTTCGAGAGGTGAAGATACAGAGGTTGCTACGAAATTGGGTGTGAAAGTGGAAACCCCATTGCTTGTTGTCCCAAAGGAGGTATCAGTATTATTACCAAAGGCAGATATTGAGGAAGTAGGGCTGCTAGAACCAGAACCAATCCGATTGCTCTCTGCAGAAGTTGGTCTCAATGAGTCAGACCCAAATGGCGACTCAGTAGGAGCAGTAGATGTGAATGGACTAGATGATGTTGAAACTCCATCAGAAGTTCCCAACCCCGGAGATGATTTGGAAAAACCAAACAGTGGTGATACCTGTGGACCACTGGAGTTGCCAGATTGGGGGAGGAACTTTGTGCTAACAGAATCTCCTCCAGTGCTAAAAAGAGAACCCTGTGGTTGGGTAGCAATACACGGTTTCTCTGAAGGTTTAAGTCCAAAAATGTTACTTGTATCAGGGACAGACGTGCCTGAAATACTTGTTGAAGTCTTCAAATTGTCAACATTAATGGCATTGTCCATTTTAGTTGCTTGAGCTTTCACATCTGGTGTTTCCGTGGTTGATGCAGTTGGTGCTGAAAAGGTTGTTGGAGAAAACATTGAAGAACCGGTAAGCCCAAAAACTGAAGAGGTTGTTGAGACATTAGTGGTTGCAGCAGCAATATTTGAAGAAGCCAAAACCGAGACATTGGTGACGGCATGGCTTTCAGAGTTATTTGCAGCCAATAATTGAAAGGACCTGTTTCCATTACTTGAATTGTTGGAAGGAGCAGCAAAAAGATTAGTCGTGGTAGTTGTTGATGTGGAAGCATTCAGGGGGGCTACTAAGTGGCCATTGATGCCAATCTTTTGTGAGTTGTCACCAACGGGAAGTTGTGGAGAACTATCACTTGCAGTAGAAACATTTTTATTCAGGCTGCATAAAAGTAGAAGACTCTTAGATACATGACATGATGAATTTTCAAATAATTTTTTTTCAAAAAGCATAAACATTGAATACAAAACTTTACTTCACTGTTCTTATCAGTGGACTACACGCTAATTAGTAAAAGGAAGCTGAAACTCTATATCCTATTGTCCTGTGATATTTTAGTTATAGTTGGATGAGTTCAATTTTAAGTATAGGTACACATCAAAAGAGATATGATGAGTAATAAACTAATAATTGACTATTTTTGTTCCAAAGCGGGTCGCAGTCAGCAACATAAGATAATATGCGGCTTAACACAAAAAAAAGGCAAAACCTTGCAAACATATTGATGAATGAAATATAAACAAATAACAGTGCAGTTGTCTTTTCATTAATAAAGGATGAAGATATCAGAAATGTTGCACTGTAAAGAAATTAGACACTGAGAATAACATAAATTTAATCTTACCCGCTCAAAATTCCTAATTTTGATCCAGGCAAAGTCAAACTGGAGCCTTCAGTCTCAGTCGCATATGCATTCTTTGAATTGAAATCAGGGAGGCATACACTAATAGATGGATCAGAACCATTTACACCAGCATGAACATTATTGGGATTCTCTTTGCAAATCTTTTTGCTCAAACCCCCAGGTGATGTACTAGTTTCTGTAAGTGATGCCGATTTATGTTGAAGTTGTACTTCGCTGGAAACCAACGTGCTACCGACAGGTGCAATCTCTTGCTTTCCCTTCCCCTCAGACAAAGGTTTAGATGCAATGCCAGTTGATTCTATGTCATCATCCAG